ATAATTGACAATCTATAATCCGAAATCATTTGTCGATATGATAGCTAGAAATCTGGCACAAACAAATTTGAATTTTTGTTTAATCTAAAAGCATAAATCTTCGTGGAGGATTTGGATGAGTTTTTTTCCTCAAAAATGTGTCCAACTCAAGAAACTGGTAACTTCCCTTTCGGAAATAAAAATAGAAACTTCATTGGAATTAGTATAAGTTTTATACGAAAATAAATTAATTTCTTCATTTCCGAATATTAATATATGTCTTTTTTTTATAATGGTTTCAAATGCAAGTGGTGAACGATCTTTCTTTACTCTAAAAAGGGTAAAGAACTACCTAAGAAATACAATTACCCAAGAAAGATTTAACTCCTTAGCAATTTTGTCCATTTATCAAGACCTGCTAGATGAAATAAATGTAAAGTGTTATAAAACAATTTGCTACTATAAAGACTTGAAAACAACCTTTTAATTATTAGTATTAGGATTTCTCAATATTTATTTAAACCAAAGAATAATGTTTTATTTATTTATAACTTTTGATTAGTTTAATGAAACAAAATATTAAACTTTTATTTTTTAATTAGTTTTTCTTAGTACTTAGTATTGTTTATATAAACCAAAGAATGTTTTAATTTTTAGTTAGTGCTTTTGAATAGTTTTTATAATTTGTTTATAAAGGCTCATTTTATATTTTATAGGATTCTAAGTTTACTGTTAGATACCAGCCTAACCAACCTACCTACCTATCTTCCACTTGACGTGAGAAAGTAAGACTTAAAAATTTAAAAATGTTTTTAAAAAAGTAATATTTTAAAACATTGGGCGTTGTGTTTGTGCCAGAACCGGGCGGCGAACTAACTTAAACCGGCACTGATGGCAACCCACTGAATAGGAATGCATATAAATTCTTGTTAATACAGGGTGTCCGAAGGACTCATAGAGCCATGCTTTGGGAAAGAAATTAGTCAACTTTTTCCCAACTAAATTTGGTCTACGATAATTTACATTTATTGGGGTTTATTTGGACCATAGATAATAAATCATATAGACATATAAATTGTATTTTCATTGTTAAACCAAAAATTGACATATTTTATTTATGTCAATCAATCATCCCAACGGGATAGCACAAAAACTACATGAAAATAGACTTAAGTACAGTTATTTTTGGCCAACTTTGTTTGTAATGAAGTTTGGTTGAAAACTGGCAAAGCGTTTGAAATGCAGATTGATCGAAATTTGGCAAATAATTAATCAGCATGGAAAAATAATAACTGGCTATAAGCATTGGCGAGTTATAGGTCGTTAATATTTCAAGACTTCTACAAAAAGGTGTGAAAAAATGCTTGTGTGAAAAAAATATAATCATCCGTGAACTTACTAAACGTGTGTTTTAAGATTTTTGTAGTGAATACTATGACTAATAAATATATGTACCCAGATAAAAACCGTGAGGGGCATCAAAACGCACATCGCATTCACGTCGTGCGGAATCATGCGTGACGGTAAAAACAATTAATTGGAATACACGCACGTAATTGGTATATAAGGGCATGATATGATTGCAAACTTTTCACTTTTGCTGAATAGTTATCGCAAAATTGTAGATGTAATACTAGATCTACACTACATCTTGCGAAAATTGTTGATTTTACGTCATATTATTACTAAAATTGACTTACGCCATATGGTTATATATATGGTTAATTTGTGAAAAGACTGGATTTGTAAAGACTATTATGAACCTCGCAATGTTTCTCCAACCATCACATGTGCTGGCTATATGAACCTCAATTGATGACGCAAATGATGCATATATGCGTGCATACGTGCGAATTATAATCACGTTGTGACTGCAATAAGCGTCAATTATGAACCTCAGAATGTTATCTGGGAACATCGAATCTGCAGATATTCATTATGTGTATGGACTATGTGATGGAAATGCGCTAGCGGCAGTTAGGGAGTACCAAAGACGTTTTCCCAAAAAAAAATACCCAACGTCCAAGTTTTCATCGACTCTCAGAGGTTTTGAGACTTTGGACTACGAAATAATAATGAACAAAATAGACGTAAACCGAGATTAAGGCGACGGAATAGAAATAGGATACTGAAAACTTTTCAAAATGATCCAGGGTTGAGCTCCCGAAAAGCTGCTTTAAGACTGAATACCTCAAAGTCAAATATTCTAAGAGTTCTTCATGACGACCACCAGAAACCTTATCATTCCCGACCGGTTCAAAATCTTCTTCCTGGAGATGCAGAGAGAAGGATGGCCTTTTGTAGGTGGGTCCTGGAATCAGCAGAAGAAGAGCCCAATTTTGTTCGAAAAATTTTATGGACATGAACTAACTTTTGTAGAACTGAAGTGATAAATTTCCACAATCCTCATGTTTGGGCAAAGGATAACCCAAAAGCAATACGACAGAAGTGCTTTCAACATAAGTTTTTTGTCAACATATGGGTTTGCATAATTGATGGCAACATTACTACTCTTCTACGGCGCTGTCAAATGTGTGTGGATGCTGGGGGAATGCATTTTAAAAATCTGTTATAATTTGTTACAAACTACTGTTACTGTTATAATTTGTTACGAAGTTACCGATTCAACATAAATTATGATAAAAATAAACTAGCGTCTAGGAGTCATCGTGCAGTTGTTACTGATCCCGTCATATTTTTAGGTTTTTTATTGTAACGTTAATTAAGGATTAAAATCAACGTTTGTAATTATTGTTACAATTAAATTATTAAAACCTATAAGTTTACATATTACTAATAGTACACGATGTCCCTGAATAACTTTTAATTGAAAGGTTCAGACGTATCCGATTTTTTTTTTCATATTTTGATAAAAAATCACTTACAAGACAATTTTTTTCAGGATAAACTCAATTCGCTTGGCACTTTTTTAGAAAATCAATTTTTATAAAAACATTAATGATTTTTAATAAATTTTTTGAGCTTTTTAATTAGTGAACTCCAAATAATGACTAACAGCTTTTAATGTACTTACCTATTTGTTACATAAAATGTGCAATTCATTAGACTAGTGAACTATTGACACACGCTTTTTTCTTTTTTAATGGGTTTATTTTTAGCACTTTTTATAAAATTATACCCAATTATTTCCACTTAAAAAAATCAGGCAAATTTAACGTGTTTCTATAAATTTCTTGTTTAGCTGCTTTACCTATAGGTATATATATATAATAAAATTTCACAACCTTTGCATACATCTTTTGGTAATCGTTCATCTTCTACATCATATACTACTATGCTTTGAACATTTTACAGAATCTTTCCACATATTTTAGACAATTTTTCTTTTTTTTTAAGACAAAACAAACAAATTCTCTCGCGATTATCCGAGTGAGTCCATGAATGTTTTTTTATTAGCTTCATTGCACTATATACTATAATCAATGCAAATATAATTATTTATAGGTAACTAATTTATAAATAAATCTGCGACACATTTAAAAAAAGCGGTAAAAAAACGCAACGGTATTTTCAATCACGATTTTCGACATGTGACATGTGACAAGTGACATATGTCAATAGTTCACTAGTCTAATGAATTGCACATTTTATGTAACAATAGCTATTTACATACCATGGGAGGAAAGTAGTGCTTTTCCTCCCGCGAATAGTTTGATGCCCGACGCGAAGCGAAGGGCATTAAATATTCAAGGGAGGAAACGCATTTTCCTCCTGAGGTATGTATATAGTTTTTTCTATTACCTTTTAACGGGTTTAAGACATTTTAAGCGTTCCGGTTCCTTTTACTAACTTGGTATGGGGCTATAAAATTATGACAAAATATAAAGTAGGTGTTGCGCCACCGACGTTATGTTGACAATGCTTTGTTGCTATGGTATTTTTGGTAATACAAACATAACAGTATTTATAAATGAGCTCTCAGAATGTTGCTAAAAAGGCAAGAATAGTTGCAATTAATTTCCTTCCTTAAAAATCGAAAGAGCGATATGAAAATAAATATAGGTAGTTTATTAAAAGGCTAGACAAGGTACAAAAACTCTAAACTCGCTAATGTAAAATTGTTAAAAAAAGAGGGAGGAAATTTTTTTCCTCCCGGGGAGGAAAAGAGGCATTTTCCTCCCTCGCTCGGGGGTGGAAAATTAAATTTTCTAGTAAGGTAGTAGAAAAATACATTAAAAGCTGTTAGTCATTTTTGCAGTTCACTAATTAAAAATCTCAAAGAATTGATTAAAAATCATTACCTAATGTTTTTATAAAAATTGATTTTTCTAAAAAAGTGCCAAGCGAATTGAGTTTATCCTGAAAAAAATGTCTTGTAGGTAAGTGATTTTTTATCAAAATATGAAAAAAATCGGATACGTCTGAACCTTTCAATTAAAAGTTATTCAGGGACACCGTGAGTAAATTTACTATAGCTGGCTAATTAGTTTTTTAAGTACCTAATTTACAAAAAAACCCTATAATGAGTGTTTAAAAATTAACAAAACATGAAAATTGGTAAATATAATGTTTTAAATTAAAAAAAAATATGAATGACAATTTATATTATATATGTGTATATTATAATAGCACGGGGAGTAAATGTTAAACTTTCGTCCCTGCTATTAGGGACGATAGTACGTACTTTCGAACAAGGTATGAAGAAAAGAGTTAAAAAAATTATAAATTACTGGATCCAGCGCGGATTAATTAATATTGACCCAGCAAAAATTCAGCTGGATTTAGGTAAAACCCTGCTGGATTGCAATCCCTAATTGTAATAATATTACATGAAAATTTCAAAAAATTCTTAAATTCTTGAATTTCTTCCTCAAGAAAATTTAAATTATTATTTTTTGAATATACTGGATGAAAGAGAAGGGGAAAGCCTAAAGAAAATTTTAATTTTACTGCTTTGATCTAATATTATTATTTTCTTGATATAACAAAGTTCTTTGAGATAAAATTTAAAATCGAAATGATGTAATTTTTTAGGTTTCGCGTGATTACGGCTAACTTTACGCCATTGCCGCCATATGTTTCGTCGGCTCTGTCATTATTCGCCTTTGACAGTCACATTGACATTTCAAGTTCGCTTTTTCCATCGGTAAATGATTTTTAGTTTTTAAGACTGTTTTAAGAACGAAACATGCAGTCCACACTTTGGAACGTTGTTACAAACTCTGTCAAGGTATTTATATAAAATTAAGCGGGGCTTTTAAACCTTACGTAATATAACCTCAACATCCTGGTAAATTTACTTATTGTATAACACCTTTTCATAAAACTAATATTTCATTTAAACTAATTTACTTTTTAATACAGTAAACGATATGGTCATTTTCACAAACAAGCATTAAAATTTTTCATACAGGGTGGTTCTTATAGCTTGTAGAAAATTCGGATAATTGGTGATTTCTGAGATATTGTATTGTTTAATGCCTATAAAAGAAGCACCAAACTTTCATTAAAATAAAGATGTTTGTGATTTTCAGCCAAAAAATGTCGCCTTTAGCAAAAGAATCCTAGAAACATTACCAAGTCGCTTATACTCTACAACCCATGATGCCGATCTTGTAGTCATCGGTTCTGGACCTGGAGGTTATGTGGCAGCAATTAAAGCTGCTCAATTGGGAATGAAGGTTGTAAGTGTAGAAAAAGACCCCACCTTGGGAGGAACCTGTCTTAATGTAGGATGTATACCTTCAAAAGCTTTATTGAATAACTCACATTATTACCATATGGCACATTCTGGCGATTTGGCTGAAAGAGGAATAGAAAGTAAATAAAAACTATTTATCAACTTTATTATTTGGACAGTGATTTTTTATTTTGTTTTTTTTTGCATAACAAATAATTGGTTTAAAGATTATAAAACAAGTTATTTTTATTAAATTGTTTGTTTAATAGGTATTAAAAAAAATTATAAAACAATCAATCAAAATACCTATTTGAAGGAAAGATAATACCAATATTGTTTTATTTTAGCTGGCGATGTAAAACTTAACCTGGAAAAACTAATGAAACAAAAATCTAATGCTGTCACAGCTTTAACTGGTGGTATTGCTGGCTTGTTTAAGAAAAATAAGATCACACTTGTCAAAGGCCATGGTAAAATCACCGGAGTTAATCAAGTTACCGCCATGTCTGCCGATGGAGGCTCAGAAATCATCAACAGCAAAAATATCTTGATTGCTACAGGATCGGAAGTAACTCCATTTCCTGGAATTCCAGTAAGTAAGCTTTTTTAATAGTATCAAATAATAATCAACTTGAAAGATTAGCTGAATATATTGTTTTAAATATTGTTAAATAAGGTATTAAAAAAATTCACCAAGGATTAAAGATTAGCTGCATATATTGTTATAAATATTGTTAAATAAGGTATTTAAAAAAATCACCAAGGAATATAAAGAAATCCTTTATAAAAACTTGTTCAGTTTTATTATGAAATTAAAAAAAAATAATAATATAAGAATAATATGCAGAAAGACTAAGGTCGTTAGCCTTTTGGAGTAATCCAATAAAGTTTATTTTATTATTATTATTATTAAGAATAAAAATGACTCTAAAACAGTCTGAACAACAAGAAAATTCTCAGCTTCAAGCTTTTACAATTAACCAACCATTTAAAGGCTAAATTAAAGTAATCTTTTATTATTAAAATTAAATTTTACAATAAAACTACACATATTTTTTAAACAATATTTAAACAATTTTATGTGAACATTTTTTTTACACATTAAAAATACTTTGACCTTATATCAATTAAATGGTTGAATTTATGAAAAAAACGTAAGCGCGCGTCTCTCTTAATTAATAACTAATTAAGGTTTTTTATTCCTTTTCTGCTGTCCATAATTTTGTGACACCCTGTATATTGTATATTTATTTAATATATAATATATAAATATTATTTTTACTTGCATTCATAGTTTTTGGGATACAGTTTTTATCTCCTGAAAATTTGCAAAATGGACAAAATAAATTTTGAAAGAGGAAGTTTTTTAAATATTGCAATAATCCTTTTGTGATTGATTTATAAACGTTTTATTATTTCTTTAATTTAAGATTGATGAAGAACAAATTGTGTCATCCACTGGAGCATTATCACTTAAAGAAGTACCAAAGAGGCTTATTGTAATTGGCGCAGGCGTCATTGGTCTAGAATTGGTTGGTACAATTTTTTCCAAAAACCACCAAACAAATTATACCAACCTTTTTTTATCATAGGGTTCAGTATGGTCCAGATTGGGCTCTGAAGTAACTGCTATTGAATTTTTGCCCTCCATTGGAGGTGTGGGTATCGATCAGGAAGTTGCCAAGGGCTTGCAGAAAATATTAACCAAACAAGGACTCAAATTTAAATTGGGAAACAAAGTAATGGGTGCTGAAAAATCCGGAGGTATTGTCAAAGTATCTGTGGAAGATGCCAAGGACTCCAGCAAAACAGAAACTGTAAGTATTAAGTACATTTAATTATAGAGGAATTTTCTTATAAAGTTTCAAAATTTCCAGATATTTTTGAATTATTTTAAAGTAATACCAGTCCTTGTATATACATATTAATTATTATTTTTTTAAATGCTCTAATCACAAAAAATTCATATTCATGACTTTTGAACAAAATAATATTAAAAATGTGTTTACAATAAGATTTAACAGTACTATGTTAATAAAATTCTCTCCCACAATATTAATTATTTTTATAACATTTTAAAGGTTCTGAGGAAGTTTTAGGATATTTAAGTAATTTTTAAAAAGCTTTATTAAGACAATTCGACAAGCTTTTCCATAATGACTTAAATCTTACAAAATGTCCTTAAACTGACTCAAACCTTATTCTAAAAATGTTTCTCAAAATTTGCGACTCTACTTCCTATATAGTGATTTAAACTAAATCAGAAGACGGCATTCTTCACCACACACTTGATTGTAAAATAGAATGTAATGCTCTGATTGGTAATTCACTTTTAATATAAACCATTTTCTATAGTAAGTAAAGTCGCAAATGTCAAAAAACACCCCCTGAAATCAGGGTTGGTTGCCCAGTGGGTTTTTTTGGGTAAAACCCACAGGGTTTTAAAAATTCCTTTGTTCTTTTTCAAATTACAAAAATATAAAATATATAGTTTAAGTTTAACAAAAAAGAAATACTTAAAGCAGTACTTAGGTTAAGTCGTTAGCTTAAATATCCGCACAGGGCGCTGGCCAAACTAAAACTGCTTTATTGTATTAGATATACTAATTTAGAATACAAAGAATCAATCAAACAAAACTTAATATTAAAGTTTGGGGATTTCCCGTCCATCTGTATTTCACCTACTCATTTTTATAGCTAACGAACAACCGCGAAAATAAGTCGTAAAAAAAGATATTGAAATTTTCACTACCTTCTTTTTTATACAGATTTTACTGTGAAAATATTTTTCTTATTAACAGTATTTCTTTTTAAAAGTTTTTTTACTAAAATCTGTATACCCTGTATGGTTATCTTTTTTATTTGAAGAGCTACAAGGTCGGTTAAATTAAACAAAAGTTGCGATATACAAGCCTTTTAACATGGAGTTTATAAACTGGAAAAAAATATTTGTTTAAAAAACTAAAAACCTTTCAAAATCAAAAATCGTTATAACTTTCTTATAAAAAACACGCCTGTAGAAAAAAATGTATTTCTTAAAATTGTCAAGAAACATCCACCAAATTCTTAGTAATTTTTGTTGATCATAATATAATATAATATAACAAAAAAATTAAGCAGTGTATGTTTTTTATTTAGACAACTAAAAAACACAGTTTCAACCATGTGCTCATCTTAATGTACTATGGACTTTTTCAGTCTGTGGCTTCTTACGGAATAATTCACTGGGGTCCATTGACTGACATAAATAAAAATTTTATAGGTAATTCAAAAGAAAATAGTATGTATAATAGAAGCATTGAGTAAAGAAATACTTAAATACTTTACTCAATGATAGAAGGGTGCGATATACTGACAAGCTTTGTTTAAAAAAATATAAATTATTAACTTTACCTGGCCTATATATTCTTAATGTTATTTTAATAACTAAACAAAACATTCTACATCAAATTAAAGTCAATAATATACACTCCCATAATACCAGACATAAAGATAACATTTATACTCCTTATAATAGACTAAAAATCGGTCAAGATGGATATCCAATGTTTTAACAAGCTACCCCCAGAAATATTATTGATTTTGATAGGTTTAAAAATAAATTAAAAATCTCACTTTTAGAAGCCGTACCTTATTCAATCAGTCTGAGAGACCTTTTTCTGTAGAAACTTATTGATTATTATTACTTATATGTGTTATTCTGCGACTTATCTTATAATATACATGTCTTACTTTTAAGCTCCTGTACTATTGCAAAGATAAATAAAGCATTATTATTATAGATGGCAGATGCTCAAGCCCTTTGCAAAACGTTCATGCTCATAAATGCTCATAAGCGCTCATAAATGCTGAAACGATAAAATATAAATTTAAAAAAAAAATTCCAACAAAATAGAGGTAAGCAAACTAAGGTTCATTTAAATAAATATTTATTTATTGTAAAGTTTATATAAAAACACATTACACATTACATTACAAAAAATAATATTTTGTTGGCGCCAAATTCAAATGTCGAGCACTTTGGTAAATGCTGGAGCATATATTTATAAGGGCTTATAAGCACTTATGAGCGCTTTTGAAAGTGCTCATCCTTCTCTAATTATTATTATTATTCCTGTAAATTTTATCGACATTTTTATCCAATTTGTGATTTGTTTTGCCTTCTGGATTTTGTATGGATGTATCAAACTACATAAGTTATGGTGGCCATCATAAAAGCAAAGGATGGTGATGGTACCTAACTCAAAACGTAGTAGCAAAGAAATTGGATAAAAATGTAGATGCGAGTGGTAGATGTGTATGTTTACAGGTAAAACTTACTTTGTTTCAAGATTTCCAGGAATACCAAAGATTTTTGGTTTTAAAAGGTGTTTAGTTAATATAATAATATAATAGTAATATAATTTTAATTGTTAAAATCAATAAAAATTATTAATTACTTTATTACTTAATATTGTAGTTTGGAAGTTTTGCTTAGCAGGGCAATATACACTCTGTAGAATTAAAAACCCCAATAAAACCCAACTCTGCCTGAAATCGATTTAAAACTTTATCTTATAAACGCAATTACAATTCAATAAAATAAGATTTTGTTATAATTTTTATTTAAAACCATTGACATTATTTATTTAATTAATTGTTTTTGCTTATATACATAGATGGAGTGCGAAGTTTTGTTGGTATGCGTCGGTAGAAGGCCATACACAGAAAACTTGGGCTTGGAAGAATTGGGCATTGAAAAAGACCAAAAAGGAAGAATCCCCGTCAACGCAGTTTTCCAGACGGTTATTCCAAACATCTACGCTATCGGCGATTGTATTCACGGACCTATGTTGGCCCACAAGGCTGAAGATGAAGGTAAGATATGATTTTTTTTCAAATCCTTTTTATAAAAACAGTTTTGTAATTCTTGCGTTTTGCGCGCCTGAAATGGCCCCTATAGAATAAACATAAACATTTACATTTAAATATAATACATACCTCTAGCAGGAAAAATTATCTGGATAATTGAAACACACTCAACAAAGCAAAAATGGCTCAACTGACGCTGATTTGTGGATGACTTTAGCGGCATTTACATCAGAAAACTTTTAATGAACGTTTCAAAAAGTTTCTAAATATTGTTAAATAACTTAACAATATTTAGGAAATAATATTTACATAACATTGCGAAATAAATGTTGAAAAACATTTACGTGATATTTATGAATGTTTCAGAAATATTTACGCGTAACAGTTATAGAAATATTTTTCCCTGAATGTTCGTAATTTCATTAACCTTTTGTTTATAAATATTGTTCTCCAAACGGCCTGACAACATTTTTAAATCATATTTTTATTTATTGCCCAACAGAACATGTTCCAATTACAGGACAAAATATATACATATAGAAAAGAAATTTGTTAAGTATAATATATTATGGATAATATATAAATTTTATATTATAAAATTAAAGTAAATTATAATTGCTAGAGGCAGCACCAAATATACTATTAAAAGTCTGGTAAAAAATATCACATGAGCTACAGTAAATATTAAAGTATCTGCACATTCTCTGAACGGGTGAATTATACATAGCATTTATTCTAGGTGTTTTATATGTAAAAGTTAATTGACTACGGCTTTGAAAAAATGGAACACGCAAATTCACCGATTCAAGCAGTGCTATAGAATCAATCTGGTTATGCAACAGTCCATACAAAAACTTCAAATGCATTATTATTCTTTTTAGCTCCAAAGGATGTAAAGAAAATCTATTAAGAAGCTGCAAGTGGTTTGTTCCTCTAGCGGGATAGATACCGTCAAGTCTAAAAGAAACAAATTTCAAAAATTTTCTTTGTATCCTTTCAAGCCTATCTCTATAAATATTGTATTGCGGACTCCAAACAATACAGCAGTATTCCAGCTTAGAAACAACAAATGCGTAATAAAGAGACTGAAATCTGCTAATATCTCTAAAACCCCCAGTATTGCGAATTATAAATCCCAAGCTTTTCATAGATCCGGAGTTAGGTGGGACAATTTTTTATTTAAAAAATAGTTCAATTTCATCATCCATCATTAAATTATGTAAAAAAAAATGTTTGGTTAAGAAGAAAACTTCTTAATCAAACAAAGTATTTCTACAGTTTTTTTGTATCATTTCAGGTATTGTATGCGTCGAAGGCATAAAGGGAGGACCAGTACATATCGACTACAACTGCGTGCCCTCCGTCATCTACACGCACCCCGAAGTCGGCTGGGTCGGTCGCACCGAAGAAGACCTGAAAGCTGAAGGCGTTGAATACAAGGTTGGTAAATTCCCCTTCTTGGCCAACAGCAGAGCGAAAACCAACAACGAGACCGACGGTTTCGTTAAAGTGCTCTCCGATAAAAGCACCGACAGGATTTTGGGCACCCACATCATCGGGCCATCGGCCGGAGAACTCATCAACGAGGCCGTGCTCGCGCAGGAATACGGCGCATCCGCTGAAGACGTTGCCAGAGTGTGCCATGCCCATCCCACGTGCGCAGAAGCTCTTAGGGAGGCCAACGTTGCCGCGGCTTTCGGCAAACCAATCAACTTTTAAGTGATGTCAAAGATATTTTTTTATGTTATGCCGTTCATGAACACGGTACTTATTTATTATATAAGATTAAACGATTGCTTAGGTGATTTAATAACTGCCGACTTTTTAAGATGTACTTCTTGGGCAAATATAAACCAACGTTGTTACCAAACCGATTGTTTTTTTAGGTCTTGTTAAATATCAAGTATTTTTGTGTCTTCACAAAATTTAATATTCCTTATTTTAAACGCAATAATTATTTTAACGATAAGTACAAAAATAAACCTGCGAAAATCCGAAAAAATCTTTTATTTGAAAACCTGTAAGAGCGCTATCTCAAGAACGGTGTATTTTATAAAATATTGTTTAGAACCAAATTTTTACAGAATTCTCTACAACTTTTCTTATAATTTCAAAAAACAAAAATATTAACAAAAAAAATACATATAATCTTTATTGCAAAATTTTTTAATGTTACCCTTGAGTTCAATGTAACCACGTTTTACGGTACCTAATTTAAGAATTTTCTTACCTAAAACCAGTGGCGGCTCGTGACCATTCATGAAGGTGAGGCCAATGGAAATTGGCGCCATCTATGAGAGGACGGCTGAAGTTCAAATAGTTAATTTTATCAAAATTCTATAAAATGAAATTATTGCACTGTGATTTTACAAAAGATTTATTGGTAAAAAGATTTTTTTTTATTGTTACCTTTTTAATTTAAAAACCAACCGTTACACCTGTTCACATCCACCCACAAAATATCACCCACCAGTGTTGCCAGATGTAAAAAGTGAAATTATCGACAAATTATTGACAAAATTATCGAATTTTCAGAAAATTGTCACAAAATTTGTATTGATAATGCTATAATAATAGTAATATTAATAATTATGGGTACTACTCGAGAAAACCAAACTCTCCGAACCGAATCGCGATGACACCGATCGAATGTTGTGTGGCAACGCCGCATGTGTAAGGTGTGTTTTAACGTTTCTAATAAAGGTTATTAAAACGAAAAGAAGTAGTAAATAGCAAACTGTAGTAGTAATATTATTCATTATTGTTAATTGTGTCATATTTGTTGCATTCAAACAAAATGAAAGATTCTGGCATCCCAACCAAAGTTGGCAGAACTCTGTAAGCGGTGGAACCTTCTGCATCTTTACCACAGATAGCGCCACTAATTTCTCTTAAGGGAAATGTAATTTCTGTTAAGGGAAATAGCATTTCCGTTAAGGGAAATAACATTTTCGTTAAGGGAAATTACAATTCGAATTGTAATTTCCCTTAACGGAAATAGAAGTTTATTTTTGTTTAGTTAAAAATAAAAGTAATTCGAGCTATTTTTTGTACACATGATAATCAGAAAATAACATCGAATTAAAATGAGACTTATAAGTCTCATTTTAATTCGATGTTATTTTCTGATTCTCTAAATATTGTTAGACTCTATATATTGCGGTTCTAAATTTTATTCGGGAACAACATTTCAATCAGTATTTTAAATTAAAATGTTTTTAATTTTTATGTCATTTAGGAAAGTATAAAACTATATCTTTAAGGACAAATACATTTATATTCGTAATAGTAATTTTAATTCGTTTTATTTTAATACTTAGCCTGGTCTAACATAAATAAAATGTAACATTGTATCCAAGTCAGAAGCTACTTTAATAAAATTGAATTAAAATAAAATCCTTTTAATGTGTCATAAAATTGCTACAAAAAACTAAAACAGTAAAAATAATTTGCATTAAAATTATAATTAGTAAATTTAATAAAATTTCTGTTAACGAAAATTGCTTTCACGTTAAGGATAATATTTAAAAATCCAATGGAAATAAATACAACAAATGAATTATTTTTACTATTTGTAAAGAAAATATGCATTCAATTTTGAAATTATAATAAAAATGTAATTTCCCTTAAGGAAAATACATATAATTTCAATTATCTAATGTCTCATAGAAATCAAGTCGAATTAAAATGAGACTTGATAGCCATGTGTAATAAAAACTAAAACGGCTTGCCATAGAGGTACTGCTCATTTTTACCTATCTTACAAAAATTATTTTTAGATAAATAAAGGCACAACCGCACAACAACAAAATAATAATGTACAAGCACAGTAGGTATAAAAAACTCAACACTGAACTATAAAAAAACATGAATATTTTTATTTATATTTTTTGTGATTTTTCCTGTGGTATTTGTGTGTTAGTATAATAGTACAATAAAATAAAAATGATCTTTTATAATTTGAATTATTTTTACATGAATTAGAAGGCGATTTTATTCCGGTGATTTGTAACATTAATCGTTGTATTAATTTTAGAATAAAATCTAAAATTCTGATTTTTTGCAGACTTATACTTGAAATGTGAGCGCTTCTAAATTAGAAGTTCTAATAGCAATTCAGAAATTTTAAAAATTTATAAAGATTTTGGAAAAAAAAAATTTGCAATATAGAATTATAAAAATCATGCATCAAAACTTTACCCTGCGGCGAGCTATATGAATTATTGAAAATTTCTATACATATATATCAAGTCAAATGTAGCCAAAACCATGACAAAGTTTAAAAAAAATTAAGTCGCTAACTTCAACGGTTGTAGAAATATGAATTTTTATTTAAGTGCGCGCTACAATACTGGAAACAAATTTTCGAACGCAAAAACGAAAATCCAACAATCTTTGATTCAACTACCTAAACCCCGTATAGCATATGCCCCGCCCACTGACGGCGCGAGCAGATTATGCAAGACAGAGTAAGCACGTCGACACGGTTTCGAATATCCGAGCATTGTGTGGTACAAGCCCAACTTTGTGGGCCTCAATGTCTACAAAAATTCGCGTATTATCCCCGCCTTGCGGTGGGGATCATGATGTTGTATCGGCAATGTGTCACGTATATGAAGCGCAAATTTCGGGGCTTACTATTTCCATATTATGCGGTCGGGCAATGATTTAAGCGTTTAGAATTAAGTTGGAAGGGGGTGCGCGCTAAATTTAAAGGAAATATTTTAAACTTTGATGGTTATTCGATGTTTTGATACTTTTAATGACTGGAAATTAGTTTAAAAACGTTTTATATTTAAATAAGTAATGTATCTAACATTTCAAATTATATTATAATTTTAACATGTGAGGCCCAGCCTCAGTTGCTTTATACGACGAGCCGCCACTGCCTAAAACAAGAAAAAAGTTGACCTATTTTTATAAATTTTGCAACCTAAAATCCCATCTTTAATTATAATTATTAAGCATGCTTTTGAAAGTAGTTTCCACAGTAGAAGACTTTAAGCAATTTAAAAGGTATAAAATAAAAATACATGATTTTAGTAAAAGAAGATACATTTTATTCAATCACAATATACACTTAAATAAAAATTATTAACAATATTTTACAACTTCTTTGGGTAATTTATATGAATGAAATAATACAACAAAAATATAATAATCGCTTCATTTTTAGTATGAAAGTATTTAGCACATAATAATAGACGTTAATCTGTAAATCAAACAATAATGCCTATTCTAATGGCGCACCCTGAAATATTAGGATTATATTAGTATTTTTTTTCAAAATTCCTACACTATGAAAAACTAGTTTGAGTTAACATTAAAATAAATATAAATAAAAATAAATGTTTTTCATTTCACATCAGGTATCAATATATTCAACAAGTAGCCAGGTTGAGTAGAATGCCACACCACAACCAATATAATATAAACAGTGTGTTACAAAAATAAAAGCAACATACTGCACAGTAAAAAAGTAATTTCTGCTATTCCAGATTGATATACAAGGCACCTTTTTAAAGAATTTGTGAAAGCTGTATTTACTTTAGTATAGCAAATATATTAGGATTTTAATTTCAGTATTTACACAATCCGTCCCACTAAAACATGAGAAAATCATAAAATAATAAAAATGTATACACTTATTGTCAACAAATAATAATAACAAAAGAAAGTATAGTAATTTTTCCGAATACTTTTGTACTATCATCATTAAACCCAAAAACAATCAATTAATAAAAAATCACAACCAGAACTCTAGTCATAGATTTTCCACTTAAACTGTTTTTACGCATTAAACATTCTACAACAAATAACAATTCTACTGTCTAAAAATTTCGTAAATAGTGAAATTATACGGTGCTCGCGTTGGCACCGCAATGTTTCATGATATGGCACTGCTGTTCTAGCCTTTGCACATTGGCTATTAGATAGGAATTCTCCACATACATTTCCTTAACCAGCTGATCAGTCCGTTCCAGCTTTTGGACTTGTTCGTTACAAATACGGACCTGTTGCTCGAGTTTTTCTTGAAGGAACTTCAGTTTGCATTGGTATTCGGCCCTGTCCGCCCTGAATTGTTGGAAATACTCTAAAAAAACATTTTAGCGATACAATTACAAAATAAAAGTATGTGGTGTGGTAAATTTAGGAAAAGCCAATGACTTCCTTTTTGAATGACATTTATCAGTTTATATTAATATAAATTGTACATTAAACAAAAAATGTCATCATTCTGTGTATTATTTAGTACGAAAAAGTTGTGGGAGGTATTATTTTTCACAGGTCACTCTATAGCATAGTAAATCTGTCAAAAAATCAGGAGGTACATCAAAAAAATCCGAACTGGTCATATTTAAGCTTTAAATAGTTTCATCTCGTTTCATATTTGTTGGACAAAAAAGAGATGGAAAAGGGACTAAACACAGAAAGTTTTGCCTGTAAACAAATATTTTAACAATTTTAAGATCTACTTTTTCTCCATAAAACTTTTTTCGTTCGACCAATAGGAAACGAGATAAAACGATTAATTTGTTTATTTTAAAAGGGGGTAAGCTTTCCACCTTTTAGACCTCCATATCCAAAATCCAGCTAGATCGGAAATTTTTCGAGGTCAAAATATAGATTGACTGTACTACAAGGCAATGTCGAAAATATGTCCTGGAACTTTTTTACCCATAATAATTGATATTAAATCCGAAACTTCGCAATAATAATGAGGTTTATTTCCGCTTTTTTATAGCTTTTTCTATACTTGCAAGCTCAATGAATTTGCCAATAGTCTAGAGTAGTGTATGCTAAATGAAGGGAGTTGATATTATGATAGAATCGAACTGTGACGAGACAAACGGAACGAAGTCTGTGGGGCCTTAAGGAAGCAAAACTTACTACGGATTAAAATTCAGCACACTGTATTACTGTATTTGGTTAATCCAGTTCAAACGGTGCACAGACAGGTATTTTGAGCTAAAACGTGACCAAAACACAATTTTTTTAATTGTAGATATCATAGATAACATGGCTATCTTTTGGTGTAGTTGCTACCTGAGTTTGCCATCCCAGTCCGCGTTACCAACAGAATTTAGCGCTCCTTTAAATCGTACGTCTTCGATCCCGACACAAATTTTTGCCGTGTTGTTTCTTATGTTAAAAGTAATTTTGGTGGAAAAAGTTGATATGGATATCGCCAATCAAGGAATGTATAATATTTTGAGCAACATTTTATTTGTTTTAACAAGTTTTCACATCACGGAAAAATTTACCCTTGAAACCAGACACTTAAGTGCAATCTTATAAGATTTTTAGGTAGATGGATATATTTATTTATTTTTTAAAGCGCACAAAATTTAACATAAGTTTAATTTTAATATTTTTATTGTATTACTTGCATGTATGTAAGTAGCTATTTTGTAATTTTTTTATGAATAAATTTTTAAATACATATGTTATTTCCTTTAAAAATACCACTTGAATACCTTTAGTCATTTGGTACCCTTTTGATACAGAAAGAGTGCCTAAATATTTTTGGCCACCTTTTAGGTCAAAATACCTGTCTGTGCGGTGTAGAATCCATACTGTAGATAAGTATTATTAGTGAAGCATTTTCAATATAATTGCTTTGACGAAAAAAACTCAAGCAATTTATAAACAAAATATGTAGTTTTATATCCTACTTTGTTTTTGTTTTTTTTTATAACTTTGTTTTTTCAGAAATATTGTTTTCCTTAATAAAGATTCTCTATTCTATATTATTGCACGATCTGTTACTTATTCGTATACGTAAGAAAAGGGTATTCCCCGGAAATGGTTGCGGCAGAAGACGCTGCAGTTTTAAATTCATCTCGAGGAAGAAAACATTGTTTTGCTGGGAAAATCAGCACAAAATCCCGTATTTTCCGAAAGTTTACAGTACTAAAAACTAAAACTGTGCAGCTAAGGTGTCAAACGACGATTTCTAATAGAAATCTTCCATTTTTCTTGTGCCAGAAAGTGGGTCATTATACTATTAAGGCTCTCTGTCATTTGTCAGTTGTCCCTAACATTTCTTATTAAAAAAAATAATAAATTGAGACAGCTAATATAGAACTAGATTCATACATAAGAACTTAAAATAACAAAAACGAATAGAACATTTTTCAATTAAATATAAAAATATGTCTTAATCAAGGTTAAAATTTAGCATCACACTCTATAACCCCATGTCCCTGTCCTATTGCAATAGTGAAAACTTGGATATATATTACAGGTTTTGTATGAAACTAAAATGAAATAACAAATAAGTAGCTCCTCAGTACTAATAAAAAATGTGTTAAAATGTCTGTGAATAATTATCCAAGCGTGACCAAACCTACTTTGTCTACTTTGTCACAAACCGCCTAAATAAAAACAGTTTTGTTATAAAATACACTGGAGTTTAGCATTACATATAAAAAAAAGACTCTGTAACTCATTTAGTTTATAACTGTGGCACGAGATGGCCCCGCTGCATGCAATGATATCGCTATTTTGCGCGTTACAAACAAGAAGCGTGTGTTTTTTAAGGTTATCTTTCGTCACGGTATTTACTCGGTAAGTATTTGCAGTATTTAATTTTCTTTTTCATGTAAAGTATGTGTCACTTGGAAAATCGATTTTTTATTATGAAAAATGTGTCCTTCGTCACATGTCTCTTTTGTCACACTGCACTGATATCGCTAAGACATTAAAACTTAACAATAAGAGACTCTTTAAGCGAAACTTAACTGCTGAGAGTAACATTAGAATTACCTTTAGTTTGCCTAAATAATAGCCACAATGAATATGAAAATGTGAGAGATGGGGCTAAAAAGTATAATGATCCAAGTATGGTGACTAGATGGCGACACTTTTCCTTGTCAAAAATTGTTTTGTTAATTTTATCAAGAAAAACAAAAAAACGATTTTTAATTACACTGGTCTGCGAAAAATAAACATAATAAATATGAAGAATATATATGTTCTGAATTTGTTCACGTTGGCCGATTTTTTTATCACGTCTAGATTTTGTGATATGAATTTTTTTTCAAAATATCATAAATTTTGTTTTTTTAAATTCGTTGTATGCGAAAACATTATAAACAGTGTATATATGTTATGGCTAATGTGCAAACTTGGATAGTTTATAAACTAGCTGGATAGTTTATAAACTAGCCAAACTGTCAACTATTTTAATTGAAAACATATTTTCAACTAAATTAGCGGCTAGTTTACAAAATAACCAAGGATCTTGGCTAATTTACTTGAAATTATTAGGGAAACTAAAATATGTGGATAGTTTGTATACTATCCAATTCAGTTTGGCTAATATGAAAACCAAAATTTCTAGTAACACAAAATAGCCAAGCTTTAGCTAATTTGTAAACTAACCAACCAATTCTCTGGCTAATTTATTAAAAAAAGTGAGGTTACGGCATTGTTTTTCGTTTTGCCGGCTTAACCTGATTTGTTTTGTGCATTTTAACGTTTTTAAAATGAATCATTGGCAAAATTTTAACGCTTCCTTGTTAGAAAACTCAACAACACAACCCTACCGACACCGCCGTTTTCATATTAGCCAAATTGAATTGGATAGTAAACAAACTATCCAGCTATTTTAGTTTCCCTAATAATTTCAAGTAAATTTGCCAAGATCCTTGGTTATTTTGTAAACTAGCCGCTAATTTAGTTGAAAATACATTTTCAATTAAAATAGCTGACAGTTTGGCTAGTTTATAAACTATCCAGCTAGTTTATAAACTATCCAAGTTTGCACATTAGCCGTAACATATACATACAAAATAGGTTTTAGCGAGTCGTAAGAGAAAGAAGGAAAGTACCGAAAGTAATTTTTATGGTAGCATATGTAGCTTGCATACAGTGCTTGCAAATCCAAGTCCGACCGCCTTGGAAAGGATGGTTGTTCAATACCCGCGTGAAAAGAATAAGGATAGAATGCCAAACAGAATTTGATTGGTCAGAGCGTCAGGCGTGCGTATTGTAAGCGCCTTCTGTTTGGCGTTCTATCCTTGTTATTTTCACGCGTCCTTCTCAAACCGGTCGGATTTGGATTTGCAAGCACTGTATGTAGCTTGCGCAGTAATCGCTGTGACTGAAGTATTTTATGTGTAGTTTATGTAAAATTTAAGCCATAGTATTTTTTCACTTCTTTGTAATTGTTGTTACTTTAATAATATCGCTTTTTATTAAATGGACCTAATATTTAAAATCTATGTGCTGTATTCGTTTGCATGTTAAATTCCGTGTTAAGAGCACCAAATATAATGTTATCATGTATGAAAACAATGAGAAGAAAAAAATATTTTTTTTTGCAAACCAGTGTTATTATAAAAAAAATAATTCCAAAAAATAAACATGTTTTTTAAATGTTTTTTTGCGTCACTATATGCTACCCACCAAAATTGGAAATAATATCTAAAGTACTTTTAAAAATATAGTGCGAGAAATGTTTTTTCTAAATAATTTCAAAACGTAAGAACCCCAAACCTTTTCTTAGAATTAAAATGTTTTTTGAGAAGTTCTAGCACCTGGTAAATTTTACGACAACCTTAACAGTAACGTATTTCAACCAATTTTCCCTATCATAATATTTCAAAAGAAATAAATTTTCCATAATAGACAATAAATCAGACAAACTTTATTATAGGTGAAAACAGTCATAATAAAAATTGCTATATAGAAAAAAACTGTTTTTACTCCAACGTGGCTATTTAGGGGGGAAATTTATACAATGTTTTACTTACGTTGCTTGACATGCTCATGGTGATAATGCTGCTGCGTCAACAGCATCTCCAAATTCTTCACCCTTTGCTCCAGATAATGCCTTCTGTTGTTCATGTTGTAGTAGGAACTGGCGGGCATGACGACGTTTTGATCGTAGCCGTGCTTCATGCTCGCGTTGGAGCCCTTCCAGTCGTTCTGCGCGATCTCAGTCTTCTTCTCGTTATTCTTCTTGTAGAGATTCTTGTCGTGTTTGCGCGTCCTCTTCGGTCTGCAGGGCGTCGTGTTCTTGTCCAAGCCTGGAGAACTTGACGACGTCGAAGGAACATTTCTGGTTGTTTTTTCAGTGTTGAAGTTCCAGCTGAACGGTAGGGAGTTGGTTTCCGTTGATGTGGGTTTTTGCTCTTGACGCTCCCAGACTAGATTTTCTTCAGGTTTTTTGTCTTCTGCCGCGTAACTAGATTTTTCTATTATGTAACTCGTGAAATTTTTCATTTTATCCGAACTACTATCGACCGCCTGCACTTCAGCGTCCTTTACATTCCTAATGCTCAAACTTTCAAGTTGCTCTTTCAGTACGGTGATTTCTTCGTCCTTCTTGAAAATTTCCGCGTCAGTCTTCGATTTATAGTCTTCATATTCTTGTTCCAAATCAGTGAACTGTTTTTCCAGATTATAAGTTTCCACTATAGGGGGTAAGCGGTTATCAGCTTGGTCTTGATTCGCGAATTGATCCTCATACTCCTTCAACTTCACCAGAAGGTCTGTTAAGGTATCACTGGTTAATTTGTGTTCTTGCTCAAAAATCTGGCGTTCCTCGTCAATTTTTGTCTCCCAGTAGTCTTCACACTGCACCATCTCGTTTCTAAGCAGTTCCAAGCAATTTTCATACTCTGATATTTTGGCGGCAAGGTCTTTATTCGCTTCAGTTAACTCCTTATTCTTCTCTTCTGATTTTTTAAGGACCTCCTTTAGTTCTTCCAACTTACAGCTCACCTTATCCTCCATTTCTTCTGTTTGCACTTCTATTTCGACCGAATGTCCATTTGCTGCATTCATTTCGTTTTCGAGTGTTGCATCGACGTTACTTCCAATTGATTCCAGTTGCATGTTTTCTAGTTTCTTTCTTATTTTATTAACATTGTCGACGCTGACGCAGTCTTTTTCTATCATGTTCTTCAAGGAGGCCTGCACTTCGAATATCGTTTTTTCTAGATCGTGCACTCTGTCGTTTAGGTTTAGGATGGTGGTGGCCATGCTACACGGTGATTCCGGCTATAAAAAATAAAGTCATTGAAAGAAAAGTGCATATTTTCTCGGGTTAATTTATGCATCAATCAATAATCCTTGAAAGTAACCACTGTTCCAAATATTGCCGACTAAAAATGCCATTAGGTGGGTAGTCAAAGCTTATAAGGAATCTTGAAATCATTTTAAATTTATTTATAACGAATTAATTAGGTAGGTATAAAAACTTAGAAACCGAGAGGTAGTATGTACAGTTATGGTTATAAAATAGTATAAATATGTATTTAGTTTTATGTGAGTTTATATCAAAACAAATTATAATTCTCTTATTTAATTGATATTTTTAGGTGCTTCTTGTTAGTTTGATATTTAATTAATTGTGTTTAGAACCAAAATTCTGTTTTTTAAGATTTTAAAGATTTAAATTGTTTTATGTTCAATAATTGCTAGTTAAATAAAAAAAAAATAAAGCTTCTTTATTGAAAATAAAACAAAAATATATTACAAGAAGTTTATTAAAAATCACATGAAAAGGTGTGCAATAGCCCAGTGTCCCCCAGTATGATGCAATACATTTTTATAATTAGAAAGTAGAGTAAAATACAAGCAAAAAACTTTTGAAATTAAAATTGCCAGTGGCGTAACAAGATAACGTGAGGCCCTGGTTTCAAACGTTAGATCCAGGCCCCCTCTCATCTCTACAATATACTACGCATAAATCGCGACAGGAATAATTTCCTGGAAGTATGGACCTACATATTTTTGGAAAGTTTTATTAATTATATACAGTGTGACCCATGTGTTTGCGACTTGTTTTAAAGAGAAACTGTATTTTTGAAAAAAAACGCCATATTTTCACAAAATACAAGGCTTACTATGTCAGTTTTTAAGAGTAAATTTTTAAGAATTCATATTAGCGATTTTTTTAAAACAAAATCTAAGCATGGCACTGGATTCTCCACCCCTCAAAACGATACTATACAAAAATTTATTATGCCAAGTTATCCATGAAAAAAACATTGAAATAAAATTAAAACTAATAGTAAAATGGTTTCAATAAAATTTAGTATAGGGGTGGTGAATCCAGTGCCGTGCTTAGATTTTGTTTATAAATTTGCCAATATGAATTCTTATAAACTTACTCTTAAAAACTGACATAGTAGGCCTTGTATTTTGTACAAATATGGCGTTTTTGCTCCAAAAATACAGTTAATCAAGATCTACACTTTAAAACAAATCCGGTTAAAATCGCACAATAAATAGAGATTTTACAGGGTTGAGGCGCAAACAAATGGGTCACACTGTATATTAGGGTGTGTCATTTTTAAGCAACTTTTTTTTTCAACTAAAAAATAGGCTAAAAACTTTCAGGAAGGTGAAAAAAGAAACCTCTAAAAATTTGAGCTCTTAATATTACCATTAAGTGGTGCCTGTTCCTAACTTTTCAATTTCTATTTAAATTACATTGAATTTTTTTTTCTTATTTTTGTAGCTTGACATTGGAGCATTATAAAAACGAACTGAAAAATTATTTTGGTAGGAAATTGAACGCTCTACAAAAAAGTTTCAATATATTTTTTCATAGAGTGAGCCGTTCTGAAGGTATTCAAACTTAAAGTTGCCTTTAACATTTCGAATCGCGGCACGTTAGCGTGCCTCTAGTCACTGTGTAATCCGAACGGTAATATACCGACTGAGCCGATATAATCTTTTATCAGAGTTATCGACTTTAAAATTAAATGATTAAAAATTCAATACAATAAAAAATTCATTGTTTTATTTAATCTATTATAATTATTGAACAAAATTGAACACAAATAACTTTTTTTGATAGTAAATAAAATAAAATGGAAAAAAATTGAGATGTAAGTGTTATTTTCTTTCTATACGAAAATAATTATTTTTTCTTAAAATAATTTTTAAGACATAAAAAAGTATTAGTAATAAAATAAAAGTCATAATTTCATACATTTGCAAGTTTGAATACCTTCAGAACGGCTTACTCTATGAAAAAATAAATTAGTACTTTTTTGTATAGCGTTCAATTTCCTACCAAAATAATTTTTCAGTTCGTTTTTACAATGCTTAAATGTCAAGATACAAAAATAAAAAACAAGAAACAATTTTTTTTCCATGTTATTTAAATGGAAAATGGAAAGTTATGAACAGGCACCACTTAATGTTATTATTAAGAGGTCAAATTTTTAGAAGCTTCTTTTTTCACCTTCCTGAAAGTTTTTAGCCTGTTTTTAAGTTGAAAAAAAGAAGTTGCTCAAAAATGACACACCCTAACGACAACCGTATACAGTAAATATAAAACGACCATCGATTTAAAAAATTTCGAATAAAGTAGTATCGACACTCAATAGCTCGTTTCTGCATGGTTTTAAAATTACCACAAATTATTTTAAGCTCTTTTTAGGCGCTTTAACCAAGCCACCGGGCCCCCAATGGCGCGGGCCCTGGTGCCACCGCATCACTGGTACCTTTGTAGTTACGCCACTGTATTGTACCAAATTCTTCACAACCCATTTTGATAATTTTTAAAAGACAATTATTATACAGCAAACACACAAAATGTGATTAGACTTACATTTGCACAATTTATAAATTCAAAAAATACCAGATTCTATGCATAAATATTGTTTTTTTTTTGTTTTTTATTTACTTCTTTATTAATTTATTTTACACTATGTTATAGCTAGCAAAACAGTTCTTAAGAATTGGTACCGCTTAGTCTATATTAATTTGTATTAATTTTTCCATTTTTCCATTTCATTATTTAATCATTTTTCAATAACCATTTACACCCATCCATTTTAAATACCCAAGTTTCACTTTATGTAATCAAATTATAATTTACAAAGGCTTTGACACTCTGTAACCGCCTTTAAAAGAAAAGTTTCGTATCAAGAATCATTAATCAAATTGAATTTAACTTATGGGTAGACATTTTCCAAATGTCCTACGATTTTTGACGTTAAAAAAATTAAGTATTGAAAATAATGTAATCATTAATACACGTACAATTTTGGTAAAAATTAGTTTATTAACAATTTTCGATTAAATATTTATCCACTTTTTGATTAAAACAAGCTATATAAAAAATTGAAGAGCCATAACCTTCTCATTATTGTGGTAATTGTCAATGTTGATAATTTATATATATTTTTTTAATAAACAAATGCCACGCGGAAAACTAAGTACTGGGGAAGTCTGAACAATTTAGGTTCAGAAACCGTTTTAAATTTTGGTGTTATCCCTTTGGGTTAATGACAAAAACTGGCCAACGTTTATTAAAAACCCAATAAAGATATAATTATGAAATTTTAACACTTTATTTTTGTGGGTATTGGATCATTAGCGGTGATTTTATACTGGTTTAAAAATAAAAATCTTGCAAAAGTAGATTAAAAATTACATTATTTTTTACTATTCAATTTATCTCATTATCTTAATTTTAAAACAAGTTTTGTAAGTTGATAATTTGTATATAGTATAGTATATTCAGGGCTCCCACGGCTAAATTACAAATTATATTTAGGAATTTAGGAGGTTTTTTTTGGAGAAATAAAGTAGGTATGCAAATGAATTTCTGTAATTAAATAAAAACAACTCTTTTTAACAAAAATATAAATAAATATTATTTCTTTTGTACAAATAAGTTATATACATTGACTATTTTTTTAGCCAAATCGCTCGACGAGATTTTTTGAATAAAATTAAAAGTGAGGTAAAATTACTACTTTTAACTTTTATTTTTATTTAAAAACAACGCGTCCATAGATTTGGCTAAAAAAACTAAGCCAAAGTCAAATGATGATATATTTATGTTTTGAGAAAAAAAATGTTAGTTAATAACTAACAATAATTGTAATGTGAATCTTGATACTTAATAGAAAAAAAAAATTATAATACAGCAAATCATTTTTTAGATTGTTACTATTTTAGCTATCATTTAAAAGAAAATTAAAAATCCTTTTGTTTGATATATAACACGGTATATTTTCGTCGAAAAAAAAAACCGAAATTTGGCTAAAAATGAAAATTTTGTCTAGGAGCTACTACATGGATTTTGTTACTGGGTAAATTTTGTTGTTTTTTTAAGAAAAATGTAATTGTGATATATTAATTTAAAAAGATTTTAATAAACTAGAACGTAAAAAAATATATTTTTAAATTACTTTTTAAAAAAGAAATTTTTGAGCACCACAACTACCTTAATTAGGTTAGGAGTTTTAGGAGATTGAGGGCAATTTTAGGATTTTCAAGATTTAAGCCAAATTTTAGAAATTTTATGAGATTTAGGAGGTGTGGGAGCCATTTATATTTTAAATTATTAAAAGTATATATTAACAGTAAAGTTATATACTTCTGTCAGAATCTGATTCTAAATAACTAAGATCCCAGGGTATTAATTATAATCAATTACGTGTTTTAGTGCTTAAACCAGTTTATTTTCGCCGCTACTGATTAAATTATTTTTTTTACAGAATTAAGGTTATTAAAACACACAACTTGTGTTAAAATTGTATAAAAATAAATTAATTGCTTTACAAAATAATGTAATTTTTTACTTTTATAAAAAAATATTATTTAATAAAAATAGAGATGGGAAAATTCCCATTTGACGAAAATTCCCGGAAACTTTCCATCGAAAATTCCCGAAATTTTCCGAAAGTTTCAAAAAAAAAATTTTTATTGCGAAAATATTTTTTTTATGCCAGGGATTTGCAAAAATATATAACACATTAACTTTTTGTCAAATTTTATTAAGAAAAAAAATAAAAAAAATGTTTATAAGAATGCAACTGCAATACTATTGTTAGTATCTTTTACTTTGGAATATTCCTATTGTATACTGAAACCTACAAAATAAAAATAATATGTTTACTACTAGAAATTCACTGATATTACGTAAAAAAAATTAAAAGGTACAAAGTAACTAATATATAGGAATATTGAAAAGTAAAAAGTAAAGTAAAAAATAATTCCAAACACTAGATTTTTTTCTTGGCATTGTGCTATGCCTATAAATAAACAACAAAAATGTAAGAATGATTTTAACTTTGTTTATTGTTATTTTGTTTCCCTTTTTTAAAAAAAGTTTTTTGTGATGATGCTGAATAATCCGGCTTCATTGAGGTTATGTAACATATATGTTATGTAACATATATGTGTATATAGTTATAGCTTACATTATTTATACTTCTTCTTCTGATTTAAATTAACACACATTAAATTCTTATTCAAAGTTTCTTGGCCTTGTATCATGGCCTTAACGAAAATCAGCGGTTAAACAATTGACATTTAAATGAAAAAAACAAGGAAAGTTTCCAAGGAATGTTTCCAAGGAATGTTTCCGGTAGCTTAAAAGAAACTTTCAAAATGAAAATAAATTCCCAATTGGAAACTTTCCAAAACGGAAAGTTTCCTTAAAATGGAAACTTTCCGATTCCCATCTCTAAATAAAAATAATATTAAAAATAAAAAAGGGGAAAAACTGACATATTTTAATTAAAATTGACATTGCCATAGCACCTAGTGCTAAAATCCATGAGTTTTTGTCTCGTCAAATTATTTTGTTAGTAACTGTACTGTTAGTAACTCCAAAAATAAAAAGTAAACATACATAAATAAATAAAAATTATTTAAAATTTGATATCCACTATCACATGGCTTTATTAAAATATAGAAAACAAAACATGTGGTTAATTTAAGAAAATAATTATAATTAATGGTTTTGAGCATCAAAGTATAATGAACCTCATATAAAAATTATCATGAATAAAATTATTCTTATATTGAAAAACCCACACAATTCTAAAGACATTATACCTCGGCCAAGCCCCATTTAATTTCTCGGTAAAAATAAATAAACTACATTGTACCTTCAAGAAAACCATCTTCGATGCAATGGGTCATTATATTTCTAACTGTACATTTACTATATTGCATTATATTACTAGGTACCATATTTGTATCATTGTGAAATCAACAATAAATCCAACAAAACCTGATTTACTTAACTCAAAAGTAAAAATCCTTTTAATGCCAAAAAATAAAATAAATTCTTGCAATAAAACCAGTCAGACAAAGTTAGTAGTAGTTAGGAAAGTTGGCTAAATAAAAACACAGGCTAGTTAAAAGCATATTTAATCGTTTAAAATCAAAAGATAAAAAAACAAATTTCAAACAATTTTCCATTATTATAGGCAATTTTCAACTCAATCACGATTAGAAATTGTAATTTTCTTTATTGAAATGTGCGTTAGATTTAGCAATCAATAAATAAAAAAATCACCTTACAAAACGAAAAATATTCATAATTATGAAAAACATCGAAAAAAATCCAAACTGTCTGGATTTCGTTTGTAAAATGTAAAACCCCCTTGTTCCCCCCCCAGTTTTGAAAATATGTTTTGAATATCAAGCTCTACATTTTTTCCTTCAAAATTTGGCATTCCACTAGCCAGCGGCATTTTTTGTCAAAATACAAATTGACCATACCAAAGTGTTTATAGGGAATATAAATTATTTATTTGTTCATTTGTTTTTACCAGGAATATCATGAAACAAGCTATTTAAAATTCAAATTCTATTGTAAATTTAAACAGAGAAAACTAATTAAAGTCAATAAAAGGCTTAAATAATCAAACATATTTCAAAATCCCAGCGATAATTAATTTAATTAGATCATATAATTATTTATTTTTTAATAAAAACACATTTTATAAAAATCATTTACGAAATGCGAAATTAAAATATTTATTTTTTTAAGTGTGCATATTTATAATTTCTATTCTACTATTAAAGGACTTTCTAAGATAAATATTTAAGCATTTTAAAATATTTAAAAAGGGTGTCTCAATAGAATTTGATCTGTTAATTAAATACCTTAAAAATTTGAATATAATTTTTATTTTTATTTCAACATAAAGAATACATCTTCCGATTATGCATGAAACAAAATATCTGACAAATGCTGGCACACCCTCCCTCTTTTAATGACTAATGTTCTGCTGAATTTCGACAATAACGCGTCGAATATCGTTTTTAAGTTTATGAATGGGGTAGTTAAATTTTTTCTGACCTATACTTTTTATGGTTTTATTCAAGGCGTTTTGTAATATTAAACATTTCTGTGAAATCAGAATTTCAATTGAGTTTACCGTTTTCGAGATATTTACAAAAAATATAAATTTTTATGACGTCACAAACCTCGCCATGTGACCAACATTCTAAGATTTCTATTGGTTGAAAATTACCCTGTTGTCAAGTTGTCTTGTTAATGATTTCATTCGGTTATGTCAGAAAATACCCGAAGAGGTTATGTACAAATACTGTCACTGTCAGTTGAGTGAAAGATGGTCACCAAATTCATTAAGTACCTATCTTCCTTATTACGAGGTATCATATTACTGTTTGATATTTTAGAGTCCAAGATATATCTAAAAGAATAAAAAGAACTAGGCATTATACTAATGAAATGCATTTACGACAAAATATGATTATAATTATAGGCACCTACTTACTTTATTTGTTTAAAAGCTCCAATGTTCAATGTAACCAACCATTCAACAAGATTCCTTTGCTTTGGAGTCCGTTATTAATAAATCACTTATCTAATATCAATTACAAATAACATAACAATAACATTGATTTTCAATAATCTAAATTTAAAAAAAACATAACCCATATAATAAATCACTTATCTAATATCAATTACAAATAACATAACAATAACATTGATTTTCAATAATCTAAATTTAAAAAAAACATAACCCGAAAAAAAAAAACGTCAAAAATCAATTCTTCTTCTTCTTCTCAACTAAAATTATAGATCAAGTGGTTTTAAAACTAAAATATTATAACGTGGCGCCATCTATCGTAAGAATCTTAAACTTAACACACTGGCAACCATAGAAGAAGCTGTCAACGTTGTCAATAGCCTAGTGAGGTAATTAGGAGATTTTTTTTTGTAAATATCTCGAAAACGGTAAACTCAATTGAAATTCCGATTTCACAGAAATGTTTAAAATTACAAAACGCCTTGAATAAAACCATAAAAAGTATAGGTCAGAAAAAATTTAACTACTATCGCTAACAAAAAAAACTCATACAGCCATATTGTGGCTGTGTGAATAAAACTTTTTCGTCAATGTCAAGCTGACATCGAGCTTTGTCACATCCATTATGACTTTTTTAAAAACATTTTCTACCAAACAATGCAGACGAACTCTGGCAAGCCATTGAAGCCATTTGGAATGAGATAAAGCAAGTCGGCGCCTTCCATGCTTTGCCGTTTGCGGGCAGTAATTAACAAAAACAGAGGGATTACGAAATATTATTTTTTTTTCAAACTTTAACCTAACTTTGTATTTAATTTTAGACCTTTCAAATGTGACGTATCATGTTAAAAGCCATAATTACTCCAACGAAATGATAGAAAATCAGGAAGACTAGATTTTTAAGCTGTATGAGTTTTTTTTGTTAGCGATAGTACCCCATTGTTTCTGGTTTGTTGATCCAAATTCTGCAAATTTTTGTTGTTGACATAGCCACTGAGATGAAAGTGCGCTTCATCGCTAAACAATTTTTTTTGAAAAATCTACATTTTGTCTTGCCAGAATCCAATTAACATATTTCCGGCGCATTGCATAAACTACCATGATTAACTCCAGCTGTGTTAATTGAATTTTGTATGGATTCAAATGAAGATCTGTTAAAATTTACTGTAAACTGCTCCTCTAAATAGCAACTTGTTAGGAACGATGACGAATTGAGGTTCCAGGATTTTTGGTAACAATTTTCCGTACTGCTGCAATATGTTTGCACTTTGCAAAAAATAGAAACTTAAATCCGGCCTTCCTATTGAGATACCCTTTAGTTATAATTAATATTTTCAAAAATGTTAAGACGTTTATTATATTTTTTTAATAGTGTAAAAATTACAAATATATATTTTTACGTCACACTACTTACCAATGCATCCGGAATGGGGATGGAATGTTGTACCAAAATTTGCTCGAGAAAAGCAACTTTCGATTGCAACCTCGTAATTTCTTCATGTTCGCTTGCGTAGAGAGACGAATCCAAGTCAGCTTCAGTTTCAAAACCGCTCTCGCTCGATGTCAGCGGTAAGTCTAGGTGGTCGCCCCTCATTTTTTCCGTCTTTCTGCGAAACTTGCCGAGCCTCGGGCTACCATCGCCTGCAAGAAAATTTTTCTTAGAAAAATAATATAATAACAATTTTTAACAAAAAATATTTCATAATAAAAATTTTAATTTAGTTTTACTCAGTTAATTTAAGTTTGTTTCTCAAAATTATTAATTATTCACAATAACTTATTGTTAATAAGTAAAAGGGACCATGAAAAATAATTGTTTAAGTATTTTTTCCATATTAAATATAAATATTTATTTAAATCGTGATTTTGTTTAAACAATAATCATATTTTATTTATTAAGTTTTACCTCTGCAAAAACAAAACTTAAAAAAACCCATGACATCAAACACCACTGCATTTGACACAACTAGATACCTAATATCATGTGCTATTTTTTTATCTTATTATCGCCTAATTAAAAAAAATTATAAAAGTTCAAAGGTTAAGTTTCTTTGCAACAAAATGTACCGCAAATATAAACAATTAATAGTGCAAAAATCCCCGTGTTTTGACCCGGTACACCGGAAGGAAATGAAAAATACCTATAAATTAAATTCAGAACAAACGTAAAATATGTAAATGCGGCCTAATCTTTTATCAAATAAACCGAGAGTCACGACAATAGATCTCATTGAAAATAATGAAATCAGAGTACTGTTATTTTAATATTGTTAATAGATATCATCTATCAAATTAGCTGTGCAACATAGACCATCCGCAGTATACCATGCGTATCTATGACATCATCTTAAGAATGGAACATAAAAAATATCCTTAATAATGAGGCTCAATTAAGTAAGTAATTGATATTTAATTAAGCCATTGTCTTAAACGCCGCATTGTTATTTTGAAATTTTTATAAAATGGAAGAGGTATACAGGGTCCCAAAAATGATGCACCAACGCCATAACGCCATATGTTGACAGATGTATTTTTTGAAAGTTAACATTTTTTATACACTTTTTAATATTTTTGATCGATGTTTTTGAGTTAACTTTTATATTTTTTCTATAAAAAACATCCTTATCATTCCTGGAACCTTGAGCCTCTGTATCTAAATTATTTATAGATATTTTTAAGATCTAATTTTTTATTTTGCATTTAATGCTAAATAAATATAAATAAATAAATAAATTAGAGGTCCAAAATAAAAAAAATGTTTGTCGGCCTCTGTATTTTTAGGAACTAAATGCAGAACGTTTTGCCTTTGCACAAACATTTTAAGCTCTACCCTTTTTGACTTAAAATTTAGTCCGACCAATATGAAATGAAACGATTCATTTTTTTCATAAAGGGGGAAACACGGAAATTTAGCTTTTTACTTTTTTAGACTGGCAAGAATACCACATCCAAAGTCCAGCCAATTTGGAATTTTTTTGATGTCATTTATACTTTTATTTCTAAAACGTCGTTAAAAAATTGTTTTTTTTAACAATTTATACAAATATTTATTTTTAAAACAAGTTTTGGGGTGGTACTTTTTATTTCTTAATATATTTTAAATCAATTGAAAGTTGTTTCTAATGTTATACAGTTTGTTTAAATTTACTGTTACATGTTACCTGTAAAAAAGATTTTATGAGATCATTTTAAAAAATACATTTGCAGACATGGAATTATAATTAATGCGAATACAAAAACTGGTTATTAGATTGCCTTTATAAATCTGTACCAACTTAAATTAAACGAAAAAGTTTTTAGTTCTAATCTATCAAAATAGGCACCCACACTCTCAATAAAATACCTTAAATAATTTTATTTAATTTGATTGTTTTTATTACGTCCAAACCTATTATTGCTAATAGAAATAAAATTTAACTTTCTTCGTTTTAAAATTCCATTATACAGATAACAGATTTAGCTATTTATAATTTTTTTAATATTAACTCAGCAAAATACTGTGATTGGCAATGGCAAATAAAATTGTTAAATTATTTAAACATTAAAGCAAAATTTAATATTCTAATATCTTGACAAACAGGTGTATAGACAAACAAATATTAAATACCTATGTCATCGGTATTTCTATTTTTATTGTAGCCCAATCAATTAGGATAGTGTCACAAAACCGTAGCTTCAAATAAAAATGTGAAATTTAAAAACTACTTACTCTAGAAGTCATATGCTACGGAAAATAAGTCATTCATCCAATAAAAATATTAAAATACTTAATTGATATTTTACCTTTTCGATATGTGTTAAAACTTTCACTGTATCAATCAATCAATAAATCCGTTACATTTAATTAAAAATAATAATATTTCTTTAATAAATTGCTTCCAATTCATTTAATTTCTTATTTCTTTATGATATCAGAGGAATGTTTATTAAACCAACTAATCAAAATGTTAAGTTAAGTTTTCTTTGTAAAATTTCCCCAAGTCGACACTATTTTTAGCTAGCCTATCGATTTTAAACAAAAGTTAGTTTTATTGATGAGCAGAAATGTTGTTTGTTTAAAAACGATTTAACACATTTTGCACAAAACAACAAGAATCAATATCCATTGCAATGGGGAACCTTTATTTTATAACTTGAATATATAAGAAATACTATAGCAAAATATGCGATTTTTATTTTTTTTAATCCTTTAAAACTAATATATTATACATAAGTACAAGTAACACAAGTTTACCACGTGGTAATCATCAGGAAAATTTTTTTTATTTTTTTTTTAATTTGAAATAAAAAGTGTGTCAAAACTAAAAAAGTTGTAGATCTCAAAAGTTTCTATAATTAAATTAATTAAATATTAAATATTAATATCATTGTTTTTTGCTAAATAAAAAAGATTGTAAAGTTACCAATAAAATTTTGATTAAAAACTAAAGACATCTTTTTTATTGATTACAAAATTTAAGGAACTAAATACAAAAAGTTTTGTTTGTAAACAATTATGTTAAGCTTAAAGCTCTACATTTTTTGTTTTAACACTTTTGTCTGACCAATAGGAAACAGGAAATTAATTAATTTCATATTTAATTACTAGCATTTTATACTAAATAGGATTATTTCGTTTATTTAAAAAGTATGCTTTACATTAGGGTGGTGGGAGATATAAATATTTTGTGAACTTGTGTGTGAAAAAAATAAATTTTTTGGTAATAAAAAAATATGTTTTTAATTCCTTCCATTGCTCCAGAGCCATCTTAAATATAAAAATTGTAATATTCAGACAAGGGGAAGAAAGGTTTTTTTAGCCAAATTGATTTAAAAAAAGGGCTATAGGGACCTCCAGTCAATTTTAAAAAATACAAAACTTTCATACTTGACATTGACCGGGGCTCCACACTTTTGCATTGTTTTTCTTTTGAAAATTAAAGTGTGGAGAGAAATTTATTTATCTCCACGCGGTCTATAATTTAAACTTTATTGTTGTCAACATTCGATAAAGAAATAACTTGTTATGGCCTAGGCCGATAAAAATTTTTATGAGGCAAGTATTTAGTTCGATTTTTTCTCGCTAGGGGTATTGTTTTGACAAATTAATCCTTTTCTAAGAAATTAACGTACTAAACTGGTTTAATTTATTTATAATAAGCACTAATTTGTTTGTTTTACTGTTAATGTTTATTATTTTTCATTAAATTATTGTAAAATTAAATATGAATAATAAAACAAAAAGTGAGGTTAGGACATTGCAATTTGACGTTTCTGTAGATTTCACAGTTGTGTTTTCTTTTTCTACGATTTAAATTATCTTTAAGTTTTAATTTGCTTTAAGTTTTCAGTGAAATTAAATGTTAAACACAGCGTAAACATTCCAAACTACCTATTTTTTTAATAAAAATGCAAACAAATTGAAATTAGATACCTATTTATTAAACAATTACTTAATTGAATTCAATGTAATAGCAAGAGGGTAAGTAAACCATTTTCTTACAAAAATCCATTCTACTTACATCATGTAGCTAGGTATTGTCAAACTATTACTGCTTCTAAAAGGAATAATAATTATTGTACATTTAATGTAATCTTTAGCTAATAAATAAATGAGATTATAAAAAAGTGAGGTTAGGCCGCTTTCATGTTGAATTATATTGACCTATATAAAATGCTTTGAAGATAAAATGTTGTATGCCATTCGGCCAAGAAGTGTCTTTTTGTGCTTCGCTCAATTGTAGGCCTCCGCTACGCGTCGGCCTTCAAACTTTGAGCTTAGCACAAAAAGCCTTACTTCTTAACCTAATGACATAAATAACTATTATATTATTACCGTTTTTTGGCCTACCTCAAATATATTGTTCTATTATATTACTAATGTCAAATTTGTATAAATAGTTCTAAACAAAAGTTGTTTAACAAGGTTTTTTATTTGGCAAAATTAGGTATAATAATAATAATAATAATAATAATGTCTTTATTAATTACGTATACAAAATACAATAATTAAAAGGCGAAGTCTAGCCAGGCTACTCCACTTAACCCTTAAAAAATTAATTTTTAAGGAATTAAACAGACAATCGCGATACCTAATTTTGCCAAATAATAACCTTGTTAAACAGCTTTTGTTCATAACTATTTATAAAAATTTGACATTAGTAAAATAATAGAACAATGATATTTTGTAATACGTAAACTATAAATATAAACATTTTTGAAAAATAGCTATACAGAATTTAAGTAATAGTACAATATCTAACAGGCGGATAAAGCGCTTATTTTATTAAAGCCGAGCTGCCGAGGCCTTAGCCGATGCGGCAGATCTGAGCGAGGCAGTTAATATGCTTTATCCGCCGCGGCTTGTTGTATATACTTTTTTTTTCAAGCGTTTAATAATTGAGTCGTCTAGTTTCAAAAGCGGCCATCTTAAAAAAAAATTAAAAATGAGTATTTACACCAATAAAATCGAAATATTACGAAGTATATTAGTGCAAAATTATATACCAAGAAAAACGGTTATTTTCAAGGAAAATAATTCCTTAAAGTTTTATGTTAGTTTCAATACCGCCCATCTCCATTAAGTACAAAAATGTACTTTAAATGCCCATCTTCATTTGAAATATATGTTTTTTTAATTACTGTTTAGAATGGTTTATTGC